CACAGGTATAAATCATTTTTAATGGGCTCTAGATTGACTCTTATTTTTACATATTAAAAATGGACATAGTTAACGAAAGTTACAACCGGAGATTTACGTTATCCGGCGGATTTGAAGAATAGATCTGTTTGGGAGTTTTCGTATAATGTACGGAAGTGCGAGGAAAGCAAAACAAAAAACAAAAAACAAAACAAAACAAAAACTAGAGAACTGATTGAAGAAATATGCACATCTCGGAGGAACTTTGTCCAGTAGAGCACAAATAGCGCTTTAATCTAGTACACCTATTCCACGGTATTTGTACTGCTTGCCAATGTCACATGTGCCTAGGGGAGAAGAAATTTTCGGTTTGTTACGAAAAAAAAGGCAAAAATACCTGCCAAATTGTTAAGTTTAATTTAATTCAATTGAAATACTTATACAGAGCCAAACCACTACTTGTCCCTAGAGTAAGTCTCATGAAAACAGCAGTTAAATGTGGATTGTTTTCCAGAAGAACAGAAAATTCAACAGAGATGAGAACAGACCTGAATGTGTAAGATGTACTTAATATAGAGTTGATAAGGTTACAATGCCTAAAACTTTTTTGGTGTTCATGAAAGACATTCCCTTACTTACTTTCGTGTGGCCAATGAGCTACCCCTTTGCGATTTCAAGCTAATAGCGGAGCTCCACGCACAAGCGAAGCACGCGCAAGCGTAGTCCCATACCTAAGAAAATTTTGGTAATCGCGTGACTGTACGTCCGCCCGCCCCTCCGTTCGTCCGCACCAAAGGCACAGCAATGTAAAACAACTCAATCAACAGGTATGGCAACGCAAATGCAAATCCAGGATATTTTGGCGGGAAATCACACAGCCACCCGCGTCTTGTGAAGGAGAGACAACTAAAGAGTCAATAAAGACGAAAACGGAAAGCGGAAATTGTTTCTGTATCTGTGTTGTCTAAGGTATTAAGTTTAGATCAGTTGTCATGTCCACAAGTTTAAAATATAGAGAAAAAGAAAGACTGAGAAAACGAGAAAGTAGCTGACGGGCCAGCGAAGCGAGCGAGAGATAAAAAAACAAACGAGACATTTTTTGTTGGAAGAATAACATGAAAATTTTATAGCGACGGTGAGAAAATGAGAAATGCTAGCGGCCACTAAGGTCAAAATGAGCAGCAGTGAAAAAAAAAGGTGAACAAGAACTCGTACGACATTTTCTCCATAAAACGCGCAACTAGGAAGTTTCTGGAAGTTTCACGTTGTAGTCGTGCAAAACAGTGGGAAAGAAATGTACAAAAAAAGGTTTGCTGCAAGTGCAAAGTTGCTTTTTTGCTGATTAGACCTATTGTTGTGAAGATGAAATAATCAGCATGTCACGTATCTTTCAGCATACATTACGATTTCGACATTGCTGATCCAAACAGTATGCAGGACGCGTGCCAAATATGAACCTACTATATGGCCTCGTTCTCCAAGAGTTGTCTGTAACTCAGTCGAGAGAGCGCCCGCCCGGTGTTTGGGAGGTCCTAGGTTCGTCCTGTAGGACGTAAAATTACCATCTTTCATTCTTTCACCAGACCTATTGTTGTTTTTTCATCGTTCTCTTCGCCTTCACCGCTTAGCATTAGACGATTTTGTATGTTGTTTCAGCAAACTATAGATATTATTGAGAGCTTTGCTTTTAGCCCTGGCTACATCTAAATATAAGTACTAGGGTATCTAAAAGATAGTAATGCTGCGGCACATTCTGTTGATACTGGCATTAGTTAGGCAGTGAGACTTAAAAGAATCGAAAATGATATTGAATGTCCTATTTACATGTTGGAAAGTACTAGAATAATTACTATCAGTCTATAGAAAGAACTCGTGGGTACGTTGTTTAGAAAATGATCAAGTGGTTATAACTCTGGTTTTCCCACAGTAAATTGTAGGAAATAATAGAAATTCAGATTGTTTATCCATATATTTAATATACGGTGCATGATATTTTCTCTGGAAACACAATACTTTTCTTGCTGTTTGTTGCACTTTATTAAGTAACAGTTATTTAGCTATATATTTATAGAAAACAACAACACAAAAAACGGAAAAAAAAAAAGACAGGAGGAATGAAGAATTCAGGAGGACTCGAACCCTGCACCTTCGGCTCGACGCCACTACACCTAACCACTACACCACAGTGGCTGATTACGTAATTTCAGGAAAAGTCTTGACTTTATTCCTTTTCCATGAAACTTCCGCCGGCAAGATAATCGCCAGCCGCATTAACCGAGCTATTAACAGTGAAAAAACAATGTAAACGCATATTCCATGGCAATGAATGAATGAAAGAACATAATTATGCTTTTCAAAACGCCAATACACGTCCTCGTCTGCAAAGTAGGACACAAAACATATGTTTTGTTATTCTCGATTGTCATTTTGAAGCGAATGGTCAAAATCACATCCATTTTTGGCTCATACAGTTTCTTAAGAATAGCACTGCATGACATTTTCTCACTTTCACATCACCTTCTAGCAAGCTGGAATTTGTATATCCCCCGTGTTGCGTAGTCGAAGAGCAAATGCTTATCTTCTCGTCAGGTTTAACACCTGGACGAGTCAAAGGCTCTTGAATTGAAATCCAATCCCCAAGTTAACCATCGTACTCATCTGAAAGACTCCAGCATGTCTTAAAATTTGGTAAGACCTCTAACCGTGCTGTAGAAAATTTGCCACAAAGAAAACTCTAAGTCTGAGCCGCGAACGACGCACTCCCACCGAACTTCCCCGTGTTTTTACTTGAGTTGTTTGTGGCGCAATGCACTCTGGTTAAATGCAATGCATTGTGGTAAAAAGTGTGGTTAAATGCAATGCATTGTGGTAAAAAGTGATGAATTCCAGAATTCGTCGCCCCTTTATATATTTCCTTTAAATCCTGATTATGTTGCTGCTCGCTCCCTTCGGTCGCTGCGCAGCAATTAAAAAGAATACAGTGGAACCTCGATTTAACGAACCTCTTTATAACGAAGGTCTCGGTATAACGCACGGTTTTCTTCAGCCCGGCTAAAATTACAGTAAAATGTATGGGACAGAACTTCGATTTAACGAACCTCGATTTAACGAAATGCTCGTCATAACGAACACAATCCACAAGCCCAAACGTAAAATTTGCCTGAATATAACGAATAAATGTCACCATGTGATAAAAGATAAATGCCAAACAGACCAACAAGGATAAAAGTTATGTGTGCAGTAGTTTTAAACAATTTTGTATGCCTGTTTTTGAGTTTCTAGTGCCGTAGCTATGCATAGCTCGGCACTGAAGTGTTATTTAATAATTACAGTAATTTTTCCGATTCGAAAATGATGGGTTTTGTAAATTAATTATTAACTATACCTCGATATAATGGACATTTTGGTAGTTTTCACGAAAATTCGTTAAATGGAGGTGTTCGATATAACGAACCGAGCAAATCTCCCCAGTCCCTTGGCACTTCGTTAAATCGAGGTTCCACTGTAGTCACGAGACCGTACGTTCACTAGCCCACCCGCCCACCTACCCGCCCGTCCTTCGTCACCACAGAGGGACCAATGTGAAATGTTACACTTTCTAGCTAGTGTGGGAGCCTACAACTTGATGTTGCACATCCATGTTGTGGTCAATTGACAAGTGTCAAAATAGGGTATCCGCTGACCAGTATCACATGACCGTATCGCGGGTTCAGTTCTCAACCCATCGAAATTAAGTGATACTGACTTAGAATGTATGAAGCAAGTCAAACTTTTGAACTTTGGATGAAGAGTTTAAAATGAATGTGATCTTTGCAGTTGAATAAACGTGAGTGGTTGATATAGAACCCGAGAAAACCAGGCTTGACCGGAAATGTAACCCTGACCTTGCGATGATCGGAGACAAAGCTCTATCCATTGACCTGATCATAGCCATCTGGAGAGCAGCTCAAAAATAACTTGGAAGTATACCCCATGGAGGAAATGAAGCGACTTAGAACAGGAGCCAAGTAATCGGCTCCTCCTCAGAATATTTTTTTAAAAAAGAACACTATTATTAAAGAATTTCTTCCTCTTATTAAGCAAAGATTCTCATTTCTCTATACACGAAAACAGTTCAGATTCATTGCAGGTAAAGCACTTTCTCTATTATTGCTTTGATTGATATTATTTAAGCTGAAGCAGATTGTTTTTCAAAATGAACTTGTTTAGTAAAATTCACTGGTTCCTGTTTCTAATGTTATTGCTATGTTCAGAGTTGGGGGCTATTCCCTAATTATATCACCCAACTAGTGAAATGCAAATCCTGCATTTGGCGTCACCTGACTACCACAAGACTATTAAAAGTAGTCGTCTAGCAGTGAAAAACAGAATCGATCGTTGCGGGTTTCTTCCACCCTTAAAATTTTTTCAACCACTATTTAACAACTTTATTATTGTCTTTCTGTCTGACTAAAGTCAACTCTCGCCTTGCGGACTCCCCTGTTATAACGGACAGCAGCTAAATAAGCTACAGACGTTTGACTGAAATAAACTCTCCCCATTACGGACTCTCGCTGATGAGGACACTAACATGAGGTCCCTACAGTGTCTGCAATAAAGAGAGTTGACTGTAGTTGCCCCAAGGAGGACAGGTCAATAGCTCACCATACCACAAAGTAAAGGGCAATAGGCTACCTACAAAAGGAGCACCTTCAAAAAATTGAATTACTTCTTCCCTTCCCTCCTCTACCCCGCTCATTTTGCCCGAATCCAATAGGCAAGAGAATAAGACGAACGCGGATCCCTAATCAACGACTATTACTAGTATATAATACATTATATGTTCATGAGATTGAAAGAGCACGAGGACTGAAGAAGCGAGAGCTTCGCTTGTGAAATGACTGGCGAAAAAAACTTTAAGAAAGCAAAATCAGGCGTTGAAAAGAGAAAGAGAACACCTACGAGAAGAAATATGGAAGATTACTAACGATCGGGAATTATCGAGAGCAAAGCAAGATGGCGCGGAAGCAACCGAAAGGGAAATGTCGCCTGGAAGGGTGCGATCTGTCGAGTTCGTTTCCAAACAGTATGACGAGGTTTTCGGCTTGAAAGAGTCAACCATGCTTCTAATTAATGAGCTAACCACAAGAGATAACGCAATCTCCATTATGTGTGATAAAATTGCAAAGGCTATGGAGGCATTCGAAGCGTATAACTACCAATACAACATCGAAAATGTCCGCATGCCCGCTCTATTCGAGAAAGAATCAATCATCAGAACAGGGCGCTCTCCTCTGCCTCAAATTATGTCATGCTCTTGGTCGGGAGTGCCAGATGTATCACTCGCCGATATCGACACGGTTCATAGAGTTCCTCCACGCACGGCTTTGGCACGGCCCAATGCCATTGTTTGCAAATTCGCACGAAGACTTGCGAAAGACAGGCGGTGTGCATCACGAGATTCGACCAATCAGAATGCGTCATTTGTGGAGTGGAATTTCGCCCTCAGAAAGAGCCGTTTTAAGAGGTATATGTGGTGAAATTTTCGCTTTATTCCAGGCTTGGGTAAGTAATTTCGACACTATACCGCCGTGGAAAGTTGTTGGAACACTTTATCTTGATAGCAGTTGCTTTACTTTTAAATATTTTGCTTTCTTGAACGTTTGGGAAAAGTTTGAATTGATCGGTCATGTGCAAGCCGCCGTGAGGATTTGAGTGTTATTTTCGTCGTTCTTCTTGGATTCATTGCTGGTTACTGCAGTTTTATCGGATTATTCCGGTCAACTTGTTACTTCAACCTTTCTTCTTTATAAATTTCGGGGTCTACCAGGGTCTACCCCTGTTATTTTCCCAGTTATGAGGCGTTGAAAGTGTCTTGGAATGAAGAGATTGTATCAGCCAAGTAGCACAACTTCCTGGAAACGGACTGAGAAACTTGCCGAAGCGAAAGCCGACGGGAAGCAAGTAACGCAAAATCTAGGAAGAGTTTCTTTCATTTTAAACCAAAAAAGGTAAATAAGTTTGATAACCTTTGGAAACAAAATATTTTTCATAACCCAGTGCGGAAACTGAAAGCGTGTCTTGAAAACAATTTGCACGCAGTATGTGCTACAGGGGCACCGGGGTTTGATTCATCTCTCTCACGAGATGCTAACTCGACCGTGTCACGTTTGCAATGAGGGACATAAACAGTTGTACCCATGAACCTTTGAGGGTAGTGACGCACACCGCCTGTGCGAAAGATAAGGTCATGGCTGCAAGAGGGGGAGTTTTGGACATAGAAGAGTCTGGACTAGGGTTCGAGGAAAACGTTGATGTCCAATATATCAATCTCTACGATCATCTAACGCCTCGCCTTCTAGAGTTGCTATATTTCACGCTTCAAGACGGCCAACAGCTACAAGTTCTGCTGGGCGAAGAACGGCTTTGTGTATCTCCGTAAAACAGAATCATCGCCTGTGGTGAAACTGTACAGCTTAGAAGATTTGAGAAGGCTCTTGGCGCAATCAGGATAAGTCTTACCTTTAACCAATTTTATCTACAGTGTAGTAGTACTCTAATATGAGGACGCGTAGAAACATTAAGGCTGCGGAAAAAGATGTCAGATCCACGCTTAAGGAATTACCTTTACTTTAACTTTATTGGTGATTTCACAGTTTATCATGGACGTTCAATCATTCGCTTCCTATTCTATCCAAGTCTAAAATAAATCTTGATAAATTACAAAAATTACATGGGTGCAGGGTTTGCATGCATCTTTTTCTCGATGAGTATCTACACACTTAACGTTTAATCTTACCGTGTACAAAAGCTTTCAAAAAAGATGGCTGTAATTTGGCGGCAATTGTTGCATCTTTCACTGTTTCAGCGTAATTCCCTAGGAAAAAAATTCAAAAATGTAACAGCCTATGAAGGTATGGGACCGAGTGAGGGCACCATCAGTCGAGACGCCCGAACTGCTGAAATCCTTGAGAAGTTACGTCACTTTCAATTGAGAAAAGATACGATATTGCAGTCAACCAATTATAGCAACTTCTTACCAAAGTTAAAATGTGCTGCCGCTCTGTTACTGTACAGTTTGGCGTTAAGATCTTCATCTTTGCAGTTCACTTCGATTCCTTCCGTGTAGAAGTGAATGGCGCTGTTGAAATTCTTCTTCCTGTATTCGTTGTTACCCTCATTCTTGTAAACCTCTGCAATTGCTACAACGAAGAAAATTGCAATAATTTCAGGCATCCCAAACTTTCGATTAAATAAGAATTGTGTAATAATGGATTTCCCGTTTCCAATTTTTTGTTGTTTTCATCGTAACCCGTTCTTGATATAAAATTCCTCAACCCCTGTACCAAATTAAAGCACAATTAAGTTCACTGAAATTGAAATTCGTAAAAAAAAAGACAGCGTTCTGTTTTCCCAGGGGTTTCCCTGAAAAGAATAATTAAAGCTTCCTTCCCAGTTGGGGTAACAGTAGTACATAAATTATTGATAAATTTAAGTGTCATTGCCTGAGAAAGTGTTCCAGGGGCCAAAAGTTATGGTCAACCGATTTGGCTGAAACTTGGCACAGAAGTTGGGTGTGATGAGATATTTCAAAAGCCACTTTGGCTCACTTCTCTGACTTTTAGTTTTGGAGTTACGGGGGTGGGGGGAGGGGTCTCATTGTTTGCCCTTTGAGCACCAAAAATCCAGCCTTCCAGGGGGCATTTTGAAAGTGTGATAAGACCCCACTGGTAAATTGTGCTGCCAAATGAATTTGACCATTAACTCTACTATAATAGAGCTTTCAGTTCATGCATGTAACTTTGTCCTCAAGGTATTGCACAGAGAGGAGCCTGGGCTAGAGTTTGGTCAAAATTGATGTTAAAATTATTACCCAAAATAGCCATTTTTCAAAATTTCACTATATTCACCTGCCTTCTTGCATAACTTCCATACCTATTCCACTGTTTACTTTAGTCACCTAATTAACAAAATCAGTTGAGAAAAATTTGGTTTATTATGGTTTATTGAATTTTTGAAACAAACACTTCATGCCCCTCTAAGGCGATGCAAAATGGAATTTTGAGCATAATTCAGGCCATAAACAAACCAAATTGTTGACAAGAAGCCCTAATTGTGTATTTGGTAAATGAAAATGAATTGTCAAAGCCAAATCAGTTTCAATGTTTAGAAAGACACCGATTCTTACCTTTAAATTGATCTAAAACGGGCCTCTGATTAGCACAAAAAACACACGATTTAGCAAAACAAAGGTGATTTTATTATTTGAAAACCTAGCAACCACCATGGGAACACAAATGATGATGTTCTGACATAGATATAACGACCTTTTTACAAGATGCCTAAATTTTTCTTTGATTTATATTCAGTTTCATGTCACATTTCTAAGCATTACTCCAAGCATGTGAAGTCTCCATATTTTGTCAGGCCCATTTTTTTATATTTTTACCAGATAAATTTAGCTTCCAAAAGGTTTGTTAACAGATAATCTTCGTCTGTCCTTGTAATATCCTGAATAGTTGTTGCAAATACCCATCAGCAAAGGAGCATGACCATACTTACATAGATTATACAAACATATACGAGAATCAGTGAGCAGTATCGAGGTGAACTGTGATTGTCCGAGTCCTTTAGAGATGAAAAAATGAAACCATCCATCCACAGTTAGGTGAGCTGGATAACAAAAAGCTTTTGTTGCTTTTTTAAGGAAAATAACCTAAACAAAGCCTTGCATTTAGATGATGCAATTGTTATTATATCAAATTAACTAGCCGCCATTTTGGACTTGGAGAGTGTGGGGACTGGACCGAGTTTCCGTCCAATCCTTCTCCTGTTTCGCGGGAATTTTCTTGTGTTTTACATCAGGTGTGTTCGAAGTTCTAGGAGGTGATCTGTTTCAGGATGATTTTACGATGGCATTTTATTCCTTTGGAGGAATGAATGGCCAGTGCAGTGTCACGTCGTGGGCTGTGCAAGAAACAGTAATGCTTCCTTTGTTATCTTGCGATAGCGGCGTGACTGCATGGTTAAAGCACAAGTAGAAGGGTTCAAGTGTGTCCGAGGAAGAAGAGGAAGACCTGGTGATGCCAAAGCTGCAGGTGATTCAAAAGATCAGTTAGGGATGATACACGCGCACAAATGGCTCTTATCGCGGTTTACGGGACTCCTTTACTTAAAGAGAGACGATGATATATGAGTTACGATATTGTTGTGTCAAATTGTTTGTTTATGGTTGATTGATTCCCTTGTTAATTTCCTGGGTCCTTACGAAGAGCACTAAACATTCAACAAACTCATCGCAGCAATATCTTTATTAAAAGAAACAACAAAAATAATAGCAATAACTTGAAGGCTGTTTTTTGTCTGCTCGAGCTGTTTCTTTACATTCAGCCGCCATCGCAAGACAACAAAGGAAGCATTCCTGTTTCTTGCACAGCCCAAGACGTGACACTGCACTGGTCATTTACCCCTCTAAAGGAATTAAGTGCCATCGAAAAATTATACTGAAACTGATCGCTTTCTAGAATTTCGTACACACCAGGACCCAGTCATTCGAAGGCCGATTAGCGCTTACCCCGGGGTTAAATTTAACCTGTCTTTGTTTTTCTTGTGTTTAAAAGCATTTTCTTGGATAATTCTCTGCTATTTTTAGAGCTTCCAATCATCAACTTGTAGACAAAAAGAATTAAAACTGAAATGCTTTTTAAGCTTTCAAATCTGAATTCAAATCTCGCACTAACCCTGGGTTATCTTACCCTGCTTTGAACAACTTGGCCCTGATGAAAAAACACAACAAATTCCCGCGGAAAGGAGAAGGATTGGACGGGAACTCCGTCTAGTCCCCACACTCCAAAATTGCAGGCCGGCTAACTTGATGTAATAACAATTGCATCATCTCAATGCAAGGATTTGTTTGTGTTGTTTTCTTTATAAAAGCAAAACAAGCTTTTTGCTCTCCAGCTCTCCTAACTGTGGATGGATGGTTTCATTTTTTCATCTCTAAAGGACTCGGAAAATGACAGTTCACCTCGATACCGCTCACTGAAGCTCGTATATGTTTGTATAATCTACGTATGTATGGTCATACTCCTTTGCTGATGGGTATTTATAACAACTATTCAGGCTACTACAAGGTCAGACGAAGAATATATGTTAGAGAACCTTTTGATAAGCTAAATTTATCTGGTAAAAATATTTTAAAAAATGGGCCTGGCAAAGTATGGAGACTTGGAGTAATGCTTAGAAATATGACGTGAAGCCACAGGTGGTCCAAGCGTAATATGGGCCACCTGTGGCGTAATATGAGAGTTTGTACGGGAAAAATATAGTTTGAAACTTAGATGAAATAAATGTGCGGTCAGATGATGTAAAAGTACTCAAATCGAGCTGAAACTTCATGAAAGCAAAGACAATGACTCCAGGTAACAATATTTACACTTTATTGATAACTTTTATCGCTTTTACTTCATTTATTTCATCTAAGTTTCAGACTCTATTTTTCCCATACAAACTCTCATATTATGCCACAGGTGGCCCATATTATGCTTGGGCCACCTGTGGTGAAACTGAATATAAATCAAAGAAAAATTTAGGCATCTTGTAAAAAGTTCGTTATATCTACGTCAGAACATCATCATTTGTGTTCCCATGGTGGTTGCTAGGTTTTCAAAGAATAAAATCACCTTTGTTTTGCTAAATCACGTGTTTTTTGTGCTAATCAGAGGCTCGTTTTACACCAATTTAAAGGTAAGAATCGGTGTATTTCTAAACAACGAAACTGATTTGGCTTTGACCATTCATTTTCACCTATCAACTACAGAATAAGGGCTTCTTGTCAACAATTTGGTTTGTTTATGACCTGAATTATGCTCAAAATTCCATTTTGCATCGCCTTAGAGGGGCATGAAGTGTTTGTTTCAAAAATTCAATAAACCATAATAAGCCAAATTTTTCTCAACTGATTTTGATAATTGGGTGACAAAAGTAAACAGTGGTATAGGTATGGAAGTTATGCAAGAAGGCAGGTGAATATAGTGAAATTTTGAAAAATGGCTATTTTGGGTTGTAATTTTAACTTTAATTTTGACCAAACTCTAGCCCCAGGCTCCTCTCTGTGCAATACCTTGAGGACAAAGTTACATGCATGAACTGAAAGCTCTATTATAGTAGAGTTCATGGTCAAATTCATTTGGCAGCACAATTTACCAGTGGGGTCTTATCACACTTTCAAAATGCACCCTTGAAGGCTGGATTTTTGGTGCTCAAAGGGCAAACAATGAGCCCCCCCCCGTAACTCCAAAACTAAAAGTCAGAGAAGTGAGCCAAAGTGGCTTTTGAAATATCTCATCACACCCAACTTCTGTGCCAAGTTTCAGCCAAATCGGTTGACCACAACTTTTGGCCCCTGGAACACTTTTTCAGACAATGACACTTAATTGATTTTTTTTTCACAGGAATCTTCATTCCGTTCACACGAAACCAGTCAATCTGCCCACAGAAACCGCATCTTTTTGAACTTCTCTCCACGACTGGTACCAGTCCAGGAGGCAAATAGTATCATGTATTTTAAAATTAGGCATCTTTGGTTATGTTAAGATGGTATTATGATGCCAGTTAAACGCAGACACAAATTTTCATTTTTTCCTACTCATCTTAGTCACATGACATTACCGTCATGAGACCACCTCACCGGAATTTAAAAAGTAAATAAATAAATAAAAATAAAATTAAAAAAAAAAATAATAATAATAATAGAACTTTTGAATTATTGAAATACATTGTATCAAAAGTACTCAAGACCACAAATAATAAAATAAATCAAGTGTATTCTTGTTCTATGTGACTGTTAAGGCTGGTTGTTCAATTTTCCTGAATGATTTTTAGGTTTCCTACCATGTACTTTCGATTGGATACCGTACAAAAACAAAAGCGGCTGTATGAAACCTAATACTGTACAATACTTTATGTGGTTGTGTTGTATATTTTAGCGAAGTTAAAAAAAACAAAGAAATTAAATTAAATTAAAAAAAAAATGAATTGCTGTTAAACTGCCTTGGCCATAGTATTGCCTACACTGGAAGACATTGATATTTCTCTATGTTTGCAGAAACTTGCTTTGGCAGCAGAAAATTGTATTACTCTGCCTTTAGGCAATATACATTCATGCACAAGTACCACTTTGGCCTTTGACAACATTGACAGGATGGAGGGCACTTTGTCAGGTGGTGATGAACAAC